TTTTAAAGCCAAATTTAAATATTATTTATCAAGCTTTTTCTAAGTTTCATGCAGTTTGGTTAAGTATATCCACAGTGAAGAGGGGGGCGGGGATTTGGAAATATTAGTGACACACTTCTGGCCCGGAAAAGGCTAGAAGAAGAACAGCTAATCAACAGCACCCATCTCCATTTCTTGGGATATTTTAACCCAATATTGGGATTAGACCGGCACTATTATAACGAACCCACAGCCCTAAAACTTGAAGCACAATGTTTCGAGAACAAGACAAGAAACAGATATTCACATTCCAACATGCTATCATCAAGCCACGCCCGAAAAGAAACAGAAAGATACACAACAGACGTTTTTTCTCTTGTTAAAAGTAAGATAGATTCCAATCTGTTACCTCTAGTACTAATTAAATAATAGTTACTGTCTACGGTGAGTGTCTTCAGTGTAGCCAAATTTACTAAAGCAAATAGTTATTTGGTAGTAGACGTCTAGCATTTTAATACATGAAAAGTTTACACAAGTGTAGAAAACGTAGACTTTGGTCTTGATGTCTAGAACAATCATTTTCTTACGATGGTATTTCTAATTAAATTTAATGATAAAAAATACAAGAACAAATACATTTAAAGTCAAAAATGCAGGTTGAGAAACTAAGGTTTAAAAGTGCAGGTTGAGAAATTAAGCTCTAAAAATGCAGGTTGAGAAACTAAGTTTTAGAATAAATATTAATGTTGCTATTTTCTCAGTTTATAGCTACACAATGGGCTATTTGCACTTTGTCCACTGCGGAGAATCGTGCTCCGGGTTTTTACTTTATAATATTTTAGACCTCACGTGAGACGATAAATTCACAAGTTATGTTTTAGAGCTACAATTAATTAAACTCTAAAACCGTCATATTCAACTTATACAACAATGAAGAAGGACTATTACCAATAAAATAGAAACTGTTAATGAAATAAGCATGACTTAGAATAATTTAGAAATATCGTTTCACATATTCTAAAAGATATTTAATTAAAACAAAATCGGGTAAATGTATGATAACCAAAAAAACAAGATACACTTTTGTGTATATGTGGAGGATGAAAACCAGACTACATTTGACTTTGTTGTTGTTGTTCTCCAAGTACACAATTAAATAACTAATATCTATCCAGAGGTGGGAATCTAGCCCCAGATTTTATAACTATAAGTCAATAAACTTAGCGCTGACTCACGGAAAGTTTGGAAACAAAGTTGATAAGTTATTGAAGTAATAATAAATCTCAAAATATTCACAATAACTGAATCACAAAAATCAAATCTCGAGGGGAATCGAACTCCTGATTTTACCGTAATAAATCAGTAGACTTGCCACTGTCCCCCCGGGGGACAAATGAAAGTAATAAATTAGTGGACTTTAAGGAACCCATAATGACCCCGATTGTGATAATAATGCTATCAGGAATATATAAGAGGTTATCCGTTTAAAACTTTTTTACTTTGCTTTTTAGAATAAACTATTTTTTTTAGTTTTGTTTTAATCAGCATTCTTACCGAGTTTGCTCAAGTAATTCTTAAACTAACTCTCTGACTTATATACCAGTAACTCTAATGTTTAAATAAGATATCTGAGAAAAATCGTTTAGTAATGCATGTTAAAGAACTTGACAGAAATGTGAAATTATACGAAGCTTGTTCTTGAACTGCTAACCATTCACTTAGGTTTGATCACATTATTATTTTTAGTTTTAGTTATAAAGAGGCTTCGGTTTCCCGTTCTCATAGATACAGAAAAAAAAAGCTTTAGATAAATTAAAGAGGCCAACATTCGTGGGCGAATACAACTTGTCTCCGCCACGCAATCCTAGCATGGCAAATTTTGACACCAGAAAAATCGTGAAAAACACAGGGACCTACAAGACTAAAAACACAGGGACCTACAAGAAGGTGTCTTTGCACTAAATCTTATGTAAATTGGTTAACATACACATGAATAGTTTTCTAGAAATTTGTCATTTCCCAAGTGATTGAATGTCTTATTTTTATATTATATTCTGATAACAGGTTCGTACTGTCTTTATGTTCTGTTTGCTTGTTTCTCCTAATTACGTCTAAGAATCTTAGAATGATATCTTATTTGTTCTTGTTGCTGGTTCTGAAGAATTTCCACAATAAGATTCTAGACAGTACATTTTAACTTTTTTATTTAGGTTAGGAATTTATAGAAGGTAAAGAGTGGCGGTGTATGTTCGATCTTTATGTCCACGGATTCTTTGAATTTGTTAGAGTTGATAATGAAACTAGTCTGGTAGCCATTTGATTTCTAGGTGTATTGGCATTCAGTTGGTTAATTGTTAGTTTTACAGACCGTTACATTAATGCCAGAAAACCTGGCATCATCTGAGACACACAACTTTGATGTGAAATCGGGAAAGGAGTTGATTGGAATTCGCCGCATTTCTTCCGTGTACTATGAAATGCAATTAACGAGTACTTTTGAGAAATAGAGATCTTGCATAAGATGTACCAGTTTAACCCAAGTTATTTGCCGTTTTTACACGTATTTTCAAAGGACAAAAAAATGTAGGTATTTGAAATACTTTTTAAAAAAATATTCAGCATTTTATTATTGTTTAGGCATTCTCTTGTGGTTTACGGATTTAGAACGCTAGAATCCGGGTTTCGATACCCGTGGTGGGCAGAGCACAGATAGCCCATTGTGTAGCTTTGTGCTTAATTACAAACAAACTTCAACCAACTAACCAAACTTTCTCCTGTGACCTGAGTTGTTCGTATAATTTATTTATTTGAAAAAAAGGCTAGTATTTTTTGTTGTGGTTCAAAAAGCATTCTGTTAAGTATTTGGAAATAATCAGAAAGCGTTTTCCACAAGATGTCGCTTTTGAAAATTGTTTGCGTGTTTATTTATTTGTTTGGTTTTTTCTAATTTCGCTCAAAGCTACTCAAGTCGTTCTTAATTTTGAAGTGATAGACTAGAGGGAAAGCAGCTAGTCAACACCACCCACCGCCAACTCTTAGGCGACTCTTTACCAACGAATAGGTAGACTGACCATTACATTACAAGGCACCCATGGCTAAAAGGGCGACAATATTTAGGGATTAGATTCGATCCCACGACCAGTAAATTGCGAGTCAACTGCTTAACCATGCTTATGAAAATAACGTTATTAAAACACTGGTTGTCATAAACCGAAACTGAATTCAACATAAACATTTTTTATTATAACATATATCACCATGTTTATACATATATTTGATGTAGCTTCATCATGGCTATAAAGGGATTTTATAGGAAATTCTCTTGTTTAACCAAATAAAGAACGGAAAAGGGAACATTGCTTAAAGAAATGTTTAAAACGTTTGTGTTTACATGTTCCTAATCATACATTTAGATTTTCATAAAAAAAAACTAATTAATTTATTTCAGAAATTGCGAACAACTAGACATTAGAATTAGCTTACTTTTCCAAAAGAAAATTCTACTCCCCTCCAGTGACTCAGCGGTTAGTCTGAAGGCTTATAACGCTAAAAACCGGGCTTAGATACTCGTAATGGACACAGAACGGATGGTACATTGTGTAGGTTTGTGCTTAACAGCGAACAAGCAAAAAAACAAAGGAAAATAATATTAGTCAAGCAACTTTTCTTTTGATAACTTATATTTCCAAAATAACTCTAATAAATATCAAACGTTATTAAAATGTTTCACTTTAGATATCTTAGTTAGTCTATTGTGAAGTTAACTTAGCGTTCAGATTCCATCGGGATTAAGGTCGAAATTATATCGCTAACAGCGAGGATTTCAAACTCATGAAACAGGTAATTCTGCATGCTGTGTAAGCAAGAAAGGTATATTTAGTTAGCTATGTTCATTACAGGGCTGAATTTTAGTTGTGATCAGAAGTTAATATTAATTAAAGTCTATCCTTTCCCTATTACGAGTCCCTGTTGAGGATGGCTTTCGTTAAATACGAGTTGACGAGGCCGGAGTATAACGGATAACACTAAAATATCTATATGAAATTCTGCTTTGTTCTTTCAGACAAAAGAAACGTTACAGAAAACAAAAAACCTTCTTAATTCGTACATATCACCATTATAATTCTTACATCAAATATGTTTTTTTTGTTGTTGTTCTCTAACTTTTGCATTAAAATATTGAATTTCCAACATACGTCAACTTATTGTAACAAAGAACAAACATTTGTATGCACAGCATTCTAGAGTAGTATCAATACATTCATAATATCAACAACACATTTTTACACACGTAAACACGACTCATATTGTTACAATATCAATAACACATTTTTACACACGAGTCATATTGTTACAATATCAACAACCTATTTTTGGCACACATACATACGTGAAAATGTAAAAAGTTAAAAATATTTCGAATATTTAACAATTTTGTGTTAATATCATTTACTTAGAATTTATTGTACTTATTTAATATTTTTGTAGTTATGCCCAAAGCTACATAATGGTCTATTCGTACAGTGCCCATCACGGGTATCGAAACCCGGTCTTTAGTGTTATAAGCTTACAGACTTAGTGCTGAGCTACTGGGAGGGACATTTAGTTTTCTTTAATTTATGTGACAATATGTTTCTTCTGTACAATTTTTCATGTTTACGAAGTAAAACTGAACGTTGATTTGTTGATAATACCCTAATCAAACAAATATCATCGTATTTCAACTCATTTTATGACTGTGCTTTTTATCATACTTAAATTCTGATACGTGTTTATTTATATCCAATATGCTTAATTTTTGTAAAGTTTCATAATGTAATTTTCAATGAATTAACGAATTTTGCGTATTCGACTGTCAGTATCAAAGTACTCTTAACGTTCGAGGTAATAGAACTTATGAACGACCTAGCATGAAGTGTGGGTAATTTAGCGACTATAACACAACATTCAATCATAGTTACATCAAGTAATTAGTACATCGGTACTCATTTTCAATCTAAAGCATGCCTTACTGAACTTACCCCCATAGAGAAGACTAACAGTCCACAATAAATACGTGGCCAAAGTCATTAATAAGTGTTTCTGTGTAGAAGACATCTTCTCTAGATCAAAGTGAGTACCACCTCGTTCATCAACAGATCATCAATTTCACACTGGCTTTTCGTCCTTCAATATTTAGACACTCATCACAGCAATAATTTCTCATGCTTGTGCCGACAGTAATATCGCATGATATTTATCCTGTACGAATGTCACGTGACTCTTCTTGCTGCTTAATCGTCAGCCCAGAAGTCACAGTTCATCAAATCCAGCCGCTAGTAGGCTCTCGGTATTTATATCATTTCATTGAATCAGGAGTCTGCGCACTGAGCTTGCGCCTCTTTAGAAGAGTTACCGTATTTTATTTGTACTAAGCTGTATCGTTACCTTTCGTGAAAGCTATCGAAAATACAAAATTTCTCATTTTGTTAAAAAAAACAAAAAACTCTGCATTAGATAATTAAAGAATCCTAATTTCTTGAAAATGCTGTGTAAGGAAAATAACTCTACTATTATTAACGAAGTATAATACAGATAGTATACACCTTCTCAGTTAACTGGGTGACAATTGTTCAATTCTTCCGTATAAACAAATTTCCGTTTAAAGACTTGAGTAAATAACGAATGTCTTTCTCAACAGGTTAAAAAAACATAACAAAAAATAGAACAGTATTGAAATCAAATATGTATTTGTGAAGAGCGTACTTAGAGTGAATGCATAATCGGAAAAACGTAAAGCCAAGAATACACCGAACTTATTTCAATAATACGCACATTTTTCTTCCATACATAACTGGAATAGCAACTTTTGTTTCTAATTTTGATGATAAAACAAAATCTCCCTACATAGCACATCACATGACCTGTATTACGTGACGTAACAAGACTACCTGAGCGGTGGATCAGGTGTTATCAGTGAGCTAAGTTCAGTGATTCCCCAAAATAGGTTTGCTAATTTGGCGGCAAACAATAATATGTAGCAAAAACAAAGGCTAAGTGGACTTTTCGAAAGGATACGGTCGCACAGATTCGGAATATCTGAAATGGGATCGGCATTGAATAAAATTTGAGAGCCGCCGACTTAGTTGGTGGTAGGCGGTAATGTCCTTAATGTTGCTTTCACCTTTCTACTCTTTCGTTAACGAGCTGATAACGAGCCATTAATTATATTTTATATTTCTGCCTGAAAGGTTGTTATTGTTGTTTATAGTTAAGCACAAAGCTACACAAAGGGCTATCTGTGCTCTGCTCAACACGGGTATCGAAACCCGGTTTCTAGCAGAACAAGTCCGCAGACATACCGCTGTGCCTCTGGACGGCGTCCTGAAAGGTCTACCATGGTGACGAAACAAGCAATCGTTGTGCACTTTCTAGAAGGTTCATTTATGCTTCATCTTGGCACCGACAACAAGTGCTAATAAAAATATGATTATTGTGTAATACACTTGTGATTACAACCTATGTAAAAATCCACTACACAAAACAATATATATATATATATGTTATACTTGTATGATTATTTAGCCCACCTTGAAATAACCAAAGCCAACATTAATGTAGCGGACTGGAGATTGTAAAACCGTAATAATGGTTGACGGTCCTAGGGGTTATGTTTCAGAAAAAAAGATAGGCCTAAATCTTTTATATTTGACATGAAGACCTGTTTCATGAAAAGATATAAAATTATTATTTTTGCGAAGTGAACATTTTTAAAGTTTAATTTTTGCGTCTTTCATATTGTATTGTATTTTTATTCATTTTAGACAGTTTTGAGCTTTGAATATCTAACTTTCTGATAAACAAAATTTATCGCATTTTACTTTTATTGAAACGGGCTAGTTTGGTGTATTTTAAAATGTGCGCAAACGTATTTCGAGGACTGTCTGAGCTAACCGTCCTTAACTTAGTAGCGATAGGCTAGAAAGAAGGCAGCTAGTCAACACCACCCACCGCCAACTCTTGGATTAGTCTTTTACCAACGGATAGTGTGATTGGCCGTCACATTATAACGCCCTCACGGCTAAAAAGGCGAGCATATTCGAGGACGGAGACTCGAACTCGCGACCCGAAGATTGAGAGTCGAGCACCCTAAACACCAGGATCTAGCGAAACCACAGCCAAGGGAACGGGCTTGGAAAAATCAGCGTGGAAATAGGACCCTGCAGGGTCCACGTTTCTACGGTTAATTTTTCAAAGCCCGTTTCCTTGGCTGTGGTGGTAGACCCTTGGTCTGTAGTGCCAGACCTATTGAAACAGAAACATTTCTATATTTTCATGTTAGAACGTTTGCGAGCACGTACATTTCTATATTTTCATGTTAGAGCGTTTGTGAGCACGTACATTTCTATATTCTCATGTTAGAACGTTTGTGAGCACGTACATTTCTATATTCTCATGTTAGAACGTTTGTGAGCACGTACATTTCTATATTTTCATGTTAAAGCGTTTGTGAGCACGTACATTTCTATATTCTCATGTTAGAACGTTTGTGAGCACGTACATTTCTATATTCTCATGTTAGAACGTTTGTGAGCACGTACATTTCTATATTTTCATGTTAGAACGTTTGTGGGCACGTACTTAATGCTTTGCTTTCGTTTATCTCATATTTTCATTGTATAAATTCAATACATTTTTACATTTTATGTATATACTCACGTCTGTTTTCAAGATCCAGGGAAGTAACTTTGTAGTTTCAAACAGCCAATAATGTTATTGAATGTGGACGTTTAAATCTTCACGACAAAAGTGACCAAAGCCAACAAATATAGTATCAACAAGATAACATTCACAGTAGCAGCAAAATTTATTACAAAAGCATATATATATATTTTAACCTGATACTTATTTAGAGACATAATTCAAGCAAGCCAATGCGTGGCTTAAGCACCAGCAAGGTATAACAGCTGATAGTTCAGCCACGTCAACTAAAGCCTCAGACATGTCTGATCAAACTAATCTAGGCATTTCTGACAACTTAGTTCTAAATAATCGCATCATGAAATTTAGGATTATCAACTTAAATAACATAGTTATTGGCAGTGCATTTATGTGGTACGAATTAGTAGACATTTCTACAAAAAAAAAAAGACTTAACTTCCAGTAAGTAAAGCATATATGTTTTATTATTATACACTGATCTTAGATCTGAATGAATTGCTGATGTATCCCTGATTCGATAAAACTTTGCCCTCCTCTGAAATAAAAACATCCTGAGAAGCAAAAAGCACGTCTTTCCTACCCACAGTGATAGTAGTTAGTTCCTTATTATTTGACAGATAACACACAGAACATGTATGATTACTTTTACTCTGATACTCTTTGAGTGAAATCCCGAGGTCTGCTGTATTTAAAGGAAGTGTGTAATATAGTATTTTATATACAAAGTATGTCATTGCACTGTTATGTCATAGAAAAAATAGTGATAAATCTTCTAAGTTTGGTGCTATCAGTATCACAAACAGATATAACTGTTATAGTTTTTATTTGTTTTTTCTGGAAAAATACCCTTGTCATAGAGATGACTTTAGAAAGTTTTACAGACTATCAGTTTAAACAACGTAAGTGTGTGTAAGTGATAGAGTTGTGAAGTTGATAAGTTTGATTATGTTGAAACTCAGACAGAACGATCAGACAAATACCCGCATATATTGCCAGCTAATTACATAATCTCCACCACGTATATTAATCTAATTGTTGTCATTTGTCCACCTGAACCATTTGAGTCACGCTGTTCAGCAGATTTTCAGGTTTGCGTTGCTTTGACGCACAGTTAATGCATTTTGTTACAGGACTGTCCTTTCTGCTTCTTAGTTCTTCATAGACCCTTTCATGGCATTCAACAGCTCCCTCTGTTAACTTAAGTGGAACTAGGAAATGTCTAAAACAACGAAAGTTTCTCGCATCTCCCTGAAATATAAAATAACCATTCTGAGGATTATTCTTTGGAATCATGACAATCCAGCCACACGTTTTAACAAAAGAAGATTTTGGGCTTCAACATTCTACAGCCTGTTTCAATAGGACACAAACAGCACCAGTTCCCTGTTTCAAAGACACACAAAAATATGTAACCATCTCTTAGGAGCAAGAAAACAGTACGAAAAGAGCACCAAACCAGACCACTAGTGTTACTAAGCCTTTCTCGGGAGAAGTAGTACTTTTGGCTCAGTCTGGGTATACAAGAGGTGTGTTATATCTTAAACTATGTCTTGCCACTTCCACATAAAGTAGAATCCTGGAGTTACAGACAGATAAAAAAAAATGTTCTCAAATAAACAGTTCTATACTTCATGGGTGGTCATAGCAGGTGAGGTCAAGTCCTATCCCCTATACCTAATGTGATAAAGCTCAACTCTGAAACATATTGAAATGTTAACATGAACGGGACGATACCACAACTATTTCCTTTTGTTAATGACAGGTAACACACTGAAAATTACTGCAACTGTTCAGATCATATTTCCATCCCGTTTTATTGGTCTGTAATACGCTGGGCTATTCCAGGCCATAATGACGCCCATTATTTCTGTAAAAAAAGTAAAACTAAGCTAATTGATGCCTGAATTGAAAAACTTATGCTATTACATTTTCATAAATTGCTCGTTAGCTGTCATCGTCTGCAGAAAATGCCCGTTAGTCTTCCTTTCATGGGATACCGTTTCCAGCATCATCTGAAGATACACTTGCTGAACTTCATTCCTTATCTTCTCCAACGTCCGAAAATATTCTCCTTAGTCTTCATTGTATAAAATGCAGTCTCCAACATCTTCAAAATTTGAGGATACGCTCTTAGACCTTAATTCTCTAAAATACATATTCTTCAACCTCTGGAGATATTCTGCTATTCATTTACTTTACTTACTGATTTAGAACAAACACATATAAACAACTAATTTGACCAAATACAAAAATAGGATTGATTTTGACCCAACATCTTTAGATGTTTATACCAACTAAAGAAAACCTTTTAATTTAACCAAAAATGACTGATTTTGACCAAACAAACATATCTACACGTATGTCACTGAGATTCACCCAACACACTAAACATGGTTGATTTTGTCGAAACGCATATACATGAGATTTTAAAGAAATATATTCAAAACGAAAAATTTCTTTTAAGAAACAATAGCTTATCTTAAGGGTCATAGGGTCATGCTTATGTGAAACAGGATGAACCGAAAGGTTATGGTGTATTCACGCCTTAAGAGCATGACCTTAATTAAGTGAAGCAGGGAGATTTACACTCTAGCTCTATG